ATCTGCAAGAGAGAGATGGGGGGGGGGGGGGAGGAGGGGGACAGAGAGAGATAGAGCGAGTAAGAGATTAACAGACAGACAGACAGACAGACAGACAGACAGACAGACAGACAGACAGACAGACAGACAGACAGACAGACAGACAGACAGACAGACAGATAGACAGACAGCAGACAGACAGACAGACAGAACAGATCGTCTACTAGGATCATCAGTCAAGAAAGCTGCTGTGTTACCTCTGTAAGGTTTTTTTCCATGGCGCATTGGACGACCTGGGTGCAGAGAAAGATGTCTGCATTTCCGTCGAGTTTCATGTCCGACATAGCGTTGAAAGCGACGCAAAACTCTAGGGCGTCCAGCCACCCTTGATCACTGTGAATAAAGGAAAATAAAAGTGAAAATGCTTTGAAAATAGTTCTATGGGCCCAAGTTGAAACGTTTTCCCGCACAGCGGTGCTTCATGGTGGAAAGGATAGACTTCATCTTTTCACGTGTCTGCCACCGGAGAGAGAGAGAGAGAGAGAGAGAGAGAGAGAGAGAGAGAGAGAGAGAGAGAAAAAGAGAGAGAGAGAGAGAGAGAGAGAGAGAGAGAGAAATCTTAAACATTGCATGGCTGAGACAAATCACTGCCTTAGAATTACAAAGTTTTATCTGACACTTTTGGCTGTTTTGAGCTTCTAAGGCTATGAGGTCAGAAACCAAATTAATGATCTATCACCTCCTTCAAAATCGTAAGATAATTCGGAGTCGTAATCAAGATACTCGAAGTACTGCAATAAAAAAAGTTTGACATGTTATGAAACTCACATTTTTTAATGTCAAATTTATCAAAACTAGGTACTGAGCAGATAGAACTTTGTAATTCTGTGCTGTCCCAGCATCCAAGACCACCCCAGAATAAAACAAAACTACGGTCAGATTGTTACGTTAAGTTCACAGTCAAAATGATCGAAAGAGTACCAAGTGCAATCTGTTATTGCATTATTATGTCAGCAGCTAGATCTATCTCCCTTATGTACGATGAACGGGCTTTGTGGTGCAGAGGTAAGGCGCCTTGCTGTCGCGTGCAGAATACCCTAGTTCTTTTTTTTGGTTTTTTTGGTAAGTGTTTTACAGCGCTCGCAACTGCATAAGGTCATATGAGCGCGCGGGACACACCTAATACTTTTAGTTGGTAGGAAATTTTGAATTTTGCCCGGGTGGCGGCCGAAGCCTACTCTTATCGATTTTAGACCACCAAGGGATCTTTAACGTGCACAACTTGCACACGGGCCCTCCGAGATTTTTCGCCCTTGTCCGAGAAGGCTAGGTATAGATCTTTCCTACCAGAAGATCAGGGTTGTGGCAGAAAGACAGCAGTTAGAAGAAGCGAAGGAGTAGCAGTAGAAAGGCTGCAGAGAGAATCAGGAGCCCAGAGGAAGGGGCAAAGGAGGTGAGGGGGTGGGGGCAAAAAGAGGAGACGAAAGCAGACGACAGAACATTGCTAGAGAGCAGGAAAGGAGGTGAAAGGAGACAAATTTAGAGAAGAAAATTTTTCGGTCGATACCTGGATTCGAACCCGGGACCTTTTGAATGAGAGGCCAACATCCTAACCTCTAGGCCACGAGAGCCCCATACCCTAGTTCGAATCCGGAGTAAGGAGAGTTGTATTATCGAGTACCTCGGTCTTTTCGATGGGATTCCTCTCAGCCCAGGATTACTTTGACAGCCAGGATGGAAGCCTGCATTTTAAATAATCTAAACTGTGTCGATGGTGCATTAAAAACGATCACATTAAAGTTTATTCTCACCTTTCTCTAACATCCCAAGCTAAAGATGCATCCGTGAGCATGCTGATGTGGTTTTGGTATTTTTCGTTTTAAAATTAAACAGTTCTTAAATGTTACTTAATATTCATTTTCTTTTTAAAAAATGATTCTCATTCATCGTCTGCCCCTTCTTTCAACCCCCACTGGGTTCTTGACACTGAGCTGGCTGGCAGGTGCATACACTTGTTTGGATAATACATGTATTATGTGTCCGTAGGGGTATGAACGAATGCATATCAGGTTTTGTCAGAATTCATTATAATAATAATATGTCGATGCCCCCGTGGTTAGAACTTGTAAGTGTTAGAGAGAGAAATAAAGTTTTTTTTGTGTGCATTATTAGGTAGACCTACATCAAATGTATTTTCATTAGCCATGGCTACTCAATACACGATATTTGGGAAAGAGAGAGAGAGAAGAAAAATGTGTGTGTGTGTATGTGTGTCTCTGTGTGTGTGTATGTATGTATGTGTGTGTGTGTGTGTGTGTGTGTGTGTGAGAGAGAGAGAGAGAGAGAGAGAGTGTGTGTGTGTGTGTGTGTGTGTGTGTGTGTGTGTGTGTGTGTGTGTGTG